CCCCCCCCCCCCCCCCCCCCCCCCCCCCCCCCCCCCCCCCCCCCCCCCCCCCCCCCCCCCCCCCCCCCCCCCCCCCCCCCCTTCCCCCCCCCCCCCCCCCCCCCTCTCTCCCTTTATCCCCCCCCCCCCCCCAATTTTTTTAAGTTCTTGCTCCATGCCCAGTCAGTCCATCCCTGCCTCCATGAGCTCAGAAAGAGACAGGCATATACTCATATACAGTCTTTGTGCTTCTTAAAGCATTTTTCTCCATGTCTCCATTATTGTATTTATCACACTGTATTGAATTTGTTTTATTGTCTTTCTCTACTTCCAGTCTGTGATCTCTTCAAAGTGAGGACGGAATCTAGTTCACCTCTGTGTTTCCAGGTGTAGCACAGAATGAGTTTCAAGATACTCCAAAGTATAATTGTTAGGAGGTCTGGAGTCAGAAAAATTTGGGTTATAGTCCTGGCTATACTGCTTAATATGTGGGGGACTTGGGGCAATGACTTTATATCACTAAGCTTCAGATTTTAAATTTGTAATGTGGTAATAATAACACCCAATTTCTAGTACTGTGGAGAGAATTACATGTTTGCACACACAGTGTCTTGTACATTTGCCCCTCCACCTCAAACTGGATTCTTTTACATCCTCTTAGGAGCTGTATACTACCAATGCTAAAGTATCCTTTTCTCTCCTGTGAATTCAGTCACTCGATCTCAACTGGATCTTTCCCACAGATGCTTCTGAAAGATGCTCAAATCTTTTTTCATCTCAAAACAAAACCAAACCAGCTCAGTTGGTAGAGCATAGTGCTGATAACCTCAAGGTTGAGGATTGGGATCCCTGTACTGGCCAGCTGCCTACCCGCCCCCCCAATAAACAAACAAATCAAACCAAGCCAGCACCCTTCCCTCGATTCTACACCCACTGAGAGCCCTCATTTCTATGGCAGACCTTACTGGTTGGTGTTCTAATACATTATCTCAATGTCCATTTGAATGTAATTTCCTATATATGCCACAAAGCAAAAAGGTTTGGGAAGCACTTGTGTGTTTTCTCACCTCTGACTCACCTCCGTCCACTCCAATTTGGCTTCAGCGTCCTTCACGTGTCTAGCATATCCATTGGGCAAGTTTTTGTCCTCATTTTGCTTGAGTGCATGGTAACATTGTTACTGCTGATTATTCATTCCTTCTTCAAACACTGTGGCACAGTCCTCTCCTGGTTTTCCTCCCATCTCTCCCAGTAATTCCTTCCCACGTTCCTCTGCAGGCTTAGCCTCCCTCCTCTAGTGGCTTTGAAGGAGTTCGGTAGACCCTGGTTCCAGGTCCTTTTCTCTTTTCACTCAATATTTTCTCGCTCAGCATTCTCATCTGTGCCCATGGTTTGAATTACTACCTCTAATCCAATGAATCCCAAATTTATCTTCCTAGCCCAAGCCATAACCCTGTGTTTCAGATATGAGTATCCAACTGCTTACCTGAGAGCTATGCATAGAGTTCTCAGAGGCTCCTTAAACTCAACCTTTCAAGACCTTTGCCTTTGCCTCCCAACCTGGTCCTCTTCTGGTGTTTTTCTGTGTTAGCTGACAGTACCACTCATTCTGATGTGCAAGTCAGAGACCAGGGTGTCGTAGCTCTGATTTTCCCCCAAATGCAAATTAGCCCCCAAAAATGTTCCCATTAATATGACCCTTGTGGTTAATAGGTGTTGTGTATGTGTGATCATGCACATGCACTTTATATTTCTGTTGTTTATTGTCTCCCAGCTACCTACCCTCGCTGCCAGTCTGGCTGAATTCTAGCTATATCTTAGATTTCAATTTATATAACCTTTCCTGCAGAAACTCTTTCCTGACCACCGTCCCCCACCGAGGCTGAGCTAGGTACATATATCCCCCCATCTTAGCATTTCACACTTTCATCTGTCGTCGTAATCGTCTCTTGTGTGCGTTCCCCCTCAGGACTGTAAGCTTCCTGAGGGCAAGGTCCATGGCTGTCTTATCTTTGCTATACCTTCCATGCCTGACACAGAGTATGTATTCACCAGACATGTGTGGAATGGAAATTGGGATGAAGAGGAGGTCCCTTTTTGCTGCTTCTGCTTATATACAGTAACAGCCAGCGTGATGGCTGCTGGATTGTCCTGTCTTCTGCCCTCCTTCAGGCCCTCTTACTCTCTCATTCTCTTATTCATAAATAAGTGGATGATAGGGTGATATTTCTGCACCTAAAAGTGGTTGGTTGACTCTAAGCCTGGTATCCAAATAACCCATTAATTTCCTTCCTGGCAGTGGGAGATTGTCAGTTTCTTCAGAGAGGCTTCAGTTAATCTATGCTGTTCCTTGAGTCACGACTCCATGCTTCACCTCTATTTCCTTACTTTTAATCTTACACATACCCATTACATTCCTCCTTGCATGTATCTTCCTAGGTAGCATGTTAAAAATTTTTCAATGTATTTCATATAGGACATCCTTAACTAAAACTCTGTGGTTACCGACAGCAGCCTTAGAAATTAGGGAACAGCTCCATAGAAGGGGCTGAAAACTGCTGGAGGCTCATACTTCCCTGGAGATTGAAGAAGAAAAGCATATATAATTAAAGCGATAAATTGGATTTTTTTGGGTACTCTGTTTACCACTGTCAAACATAATCTATTTCATGCATTTATGCAGAATGCATGAAATAGGTCAGATTTAATTTTCTTCAGTTTGCTTATATTCTCCTCCAGTTCCCTGGGTAGATGTGGAAGCCAAATGGAAGTGGGGGACTTGTGTATTTAGAAGAGATGGTGGTAAAGGATTTAGTGCACTGGACCCTGGGAGTTGGACACCCATGAGCAAGTAAAAAATAAAAAGAGGTAATGAGGTATCTGGGAAAGAGCATGGGATTTGGAGTCAGACCTGAGTGAGCACACTGGCTCAGCCGAAGGAGGTTGCATGGCTTGGATTCCATTCTCTTCCTCCTCTCGAAGTGCTCCTTCCTTTCTGTGTTCATTCCCTCTGCTCTTCCCACCACCGGTTTCTCTGCTCCTGGATCCTTTCATTGGTATATGAACACATGTAAACATCAGCCAAAGCAAAGTGAACCTCTC